CCCAGTTTGGAAAACACTGCCTATAATGTATTTAGTAAACAACAGTCACATCTTTGTGATCTTTATAACAAAAGTAGAAACACAAATTTCTAGAGAAGATATTAGGCGAATGATAGCATATGACGACATAGAGGAAACTTGACACTTTTGTAATTCATGTTTTTACTAATATGTTGTATCTATAAGCATTGCATGGGTTACTTTACAGAATTGTAGATTTCGGATCTCTATTTCAATATACAAAGGTTGATACATTATATTAAAAATATTTATGAGCTTCGTCACGTTGTTACATTTTATGTCACCACGTTCAGTCATGCTCTATCGGGTGTTTGAAGTATGTGACGGTTGAACGGATATGACGTGGAAGTGACTTGTGTGCTTGTGACTGGTGTCTTTTTTTTTCCAAATAGAGATCCTTCTTAATTGTGTTTCGTACTGTTGCCCGGGACATATGGACGGCTTTTGCCACTGATATTTGTGTTCGTGGATTCTTACCTGTTATAAGACCACATTTTGCTTACCACGGCTGGGGTATGATCTGTTGCAGGTCTGATTCTGGATAGTCCTGATAATTCAAGTTGATCCATATTTCTTTTTGTTTTTCATTGTTGTTATATATAAGAGATATCCCCGTCTTGGAAATTGTAAGTCCCCGATCTGAACACATCTTTATGATATTAATATCTAATAATATTTAGTTTAATAAATGATATATATATTAATTGTCTGAAGACTAGGAGCTGAATTTTTAGGATTGAGCATTATTGTATGTTTCTCTTTATTTCATTATTTCTGGCATTTCAATGTGTTTGATGACTCCCGTATGTGTCAGTGTGTTTGATGGCTCCTGTATGTGTCAATGTGTTTGATAGCTCCTGAATGTTTCAATATGTTTGATGAATCCTGTATGTGTCAATGTGTTTGATGGCTCCCGAATGTTTCAATATTTTTGATGAATCCTGAATGTGTCAATGTGTTTGATGACTCCTGGATGTTTCGATGTGTTTGATGACTCCTGTATATGTCAATGTGTTTGATGGCTCCTGTATGTGTCAGTATGTTTGATGACTCCTGCATGTGTTGATGTGTTTATGGCTTCTGAACGTTTTTCTGTGTTTATGGCTTCTGAACGTTTTTCTGTGTTTGATGACTCCTGCATGTGTCAGTGTGTTTAATGGCTCCTGAATGTTTCAATATGTTTGATGAATCCTGTATATGTCAATGTGTTTGATGGCTCCTGAATGTTTCAATATGTTTGATGAATCCTGAATGTGTCAATGTGTTTGATGAATCCTGAATGTGTCAATGTGTTTGATGACTCCTGTATGTGTCAGTGTGTTTGATGACTCCTGGATGTGTCGATGTGTTTGATGACTCCTGTATATGTCAATCTGTTTGATGGCTCCTATATGTGTCAGTATGTTTGATGACTCATGTATGTGTCGATGTGTTTGATGACTCCTGTATGTATCAGTGTGTTTGATGACTCCTGCATGTGTCGATGTGTTTGATGACTCCTGCATGTGTTGATGGGTTTGATTGCTCCTGTATGTGTCGATGTGTTTGATGACTCCTGCATGTGTTGATGGGTTTGATTGCTCCTGTATGTGTCGATGTGTTTGATGACTCCTGCATGTGTTGATGGGTTTGATTGCTCCTGTATGTGTCGATATGTTTATGGCTTCTGAACGTTTTTCTGTGTTTGATGACTCCTGCATGTGTCGATGGGTTTGATTGCTCCAGCATGTGTCGATGTGTTTATGGCTTCTGAACGTTTTTCTGTGTTTGATGACTCCTGCATGTGTCGATGGGTTTGATTTCTCCTGTATGTGTCGATGTGTTTATGGCTTCTGAACGTTTTTCTGTGTTTGGTAGCTTCTTAATGTTTTTAAGTCCGTGGTGAGTCCATAATGTATTTAAATAAGTAGAAATGGTTTGATCTAATGAATTGTATTTAATTTGTTAATTTTTTATAAAATAGTGTGTTTTTTTTTCGTCGGAAAATATATATTACTATTTGAAGTAAATTTGTAGATTGGCTAATAACAACTTATAAAGTGGTTAATAATGACTTATCATTATTAGCCACTCTACAAGTCATTATTAACCACTTTATAAGTCATTATTAACCACTCTATAAGTCATTGTTAGCCACTCTACAAGTCATTATTAACCATTTCATAAGTCATTATTAGCCACTCTACAAGTCATTATTAACCACTTTATAAGTCATTATTAACCACTCTATAAGTCATTATTAGCCACTCTACAAGTCATGATTAACCACTTTATAAGTCATTATTAACCACTCTATAAATCAATATTAGCCACTCTTTAAGTCATTATTAGCCACTCTATAAGTCATTATTAGCCACTCTATAAGTCATTATTAACCACTCTATAAGTTATTATTAGCCACTCTATAAGTTATTATTAGCCACTCTATAAGTCATTATTAACCACTCTATATATTATTATTAGCCACTCTATAAGTCATTATTAACCACTTTATAAGTCATTATTAGCCACTCTACAAGTCATTATTAACCACTCTATAAGTCATTATTAGCCACTCTGTAAGTTGTTATTAGCCACTCTACAAGTCATTATTAACCACTCCAATAATGACTTGTAGAGTAGCTAATAATGACTTATAAAGTGGTTAATAATGACTTGTAGAGTGGTTAATAATGATTTATAGAGTGGCTAATAATGACTTATAGAGTGGTTAATAATGACTTATAGAGTGGCTAATAATGACTTATAGAGTGGCTAATAATGACTTATAGAGTGGTTAATAATGACTTATAGAGTGGCTAATAATGACTTATAGAGTGGCTAATAATGATTTATAAAAAGGTTAATAATGACTTATAGAGTGGCTAATAATGACTTGTAGAGTGGCTAATAATGGTTTATA